TCCTCCTCCTCATCAGTTGTCTCGTCTTCAATTTCCTCTGCGGCCTCGACCTTCCCATCATACCTGACATAACTGAATCCATAGCTTGGAAAAATGAGCTTTATAAGTCGTTCCAGGTGCTTGTTGCATTGTTCCCTCCATTTCTTGACAAATGCAAAAGGTGCGATGACAATTGCTGCTCCAACCCCAAATCCCAAACCCGTGAATACAAACTGCCAATCAAAATCTATACTTGCCAAGATAGGAGCTGAATTTGGTGCTAAGGTGTTGTCTTTGCAGCTTTTATTCAAAGGCAACCCACAAAGTCCCGTATTTCCTTCATAGGAGACTTCTGAAAAAGTCTGAAACTGACGACCCTGGGGGATCTTCCCAAACAACTTATTGCAGGACAGATTCAAGAATGAAAGGAATGTTAGACTTGTGAGCTCTTCCGGTATTACTCCAGTTAGCTGATTCTTTGAGAGGTCTAGTGATCCAAGCTGTCTGAGATATCCAATTGATTTCGGGATTTGGCCCATGAGAGCATTATTTGAAAAGTTGAGAATGTAAAGAGAACTTAGATTCCCAACAGTGTCTGGTATCTCTCCTTGAAAATTATTGCTTGAGAAATCAAGGACAGTAAGAACTCTGAGAATTTTCACAAACTCCAGTTCTAACCCTTTAATGGTTGCTGTCACAGTGTCCTGATAGTAAAAGTTGCTCAGATTCAGAAAGTCAAACCTCAGGTGGTTGTGATCAAATTCACCATCATTGCCGAGCATCATTCCTCTCCAACTTAAGAAGCATTTTGGGTATAAATTTCCACTGAAATTGTTAGAAGCAATATCAATGATTTGAAGATTTCGCCAGCTGTTACTTGCCCCAGGAAAACACCGAATACCTCCATGGAATTTGTTGGATCGCAGAACTAGGACACGTAAGTTGGATGAATTTTTCAACATGCATGGAAATTTGTCTTCAATGTTGTTGTTTCCAATACTCACGACTTCTAACAATTTGCAGTTGGCTAGGGATCCTGGAATCTGTCCTGATAAATTATTCCTACTGAAGTCTAGAGTTCTTAGACCACAACTGGGAGAAAATGTATTAGGAATGGTGCCGCTGAGGATGTTTCTTCCTAGATTCAGTACCCCAAGAGTCTGAATATTACTTGATAGTAGACAGTTCGGTATTCTGCCGCTCAGGGAATTGATGGAAAAGTCAAGAACTTGAAGGTATCTAGCATTGCATATGGATTCAGGTATGGATCCCGTTAGACTATTATTTGAAAGAGAGAAGAAAAAAGAATTCGAAACACTGTTGCCAATATCAGCCGGAATGGAGCTATTGAAATTATTCCCGGAGTAATCTATATAGATAGCTGATGGCGGAGGGATTGGCAGATCACCTCGGAGCTGGTTGCTATGAATGTCTAAAATCAAAAGACTGGAAATGTTATAAGGTGTTTGCAGATCTCGCAGGAGATTGTGAGAAAGATTTAAATGAACAAGGCTTCCACGTCCAACTTCCCAAATCCAATTAGGTATTTCCCCCTTAATTTGGTTGTCTGAAAGGTCTAAAAATGACATTTTTGATTGGTTCCTCAAGTCAGGAAAACTTTGTAGGTTGCAGGAAGCTAAGTTTAACCTGGTTAGCTGTTGAAACGAATATGAGCTCGAAGAACTATTGCTTGTATTGATTGACAAGCGGTTGTGAGCAAGCTCCAGTCTCGTGAGGTTTTGGAGGTTATGGATATTTGCCATCTGTAGAGTGCCGTTAAGGAAATTTGAAGAAAGTATGAGAACATTAAGTTTTCGAAGTTCAAAGAAAAATTGGGGAATTGGCCCTCGTAGAAGATTACTACTTAAATCAAGTGTATCCAATTGAGAGAAGACCATAGTCGAAGATTCATTGACTTGGCCACCAAATTGATTGTTAGACAGTCGGAGTTTCTGCAGCGATGGGAGCACAAACAGAACAGAGGGGATGTTTCCACTGAGTGAATTATACCCTAAGTTCATATATACAAGATCATTAAGTCCCTCAAAATGCCTGGAAGAAAGTGAACCGTTTAGACCATTATGAGAGAGGTCTATATAGGTAAGTTTCTGGGACATATTGAACAGTGGAACAAAACCAGTGAGATTGTTAAATGATAAGTCCAAGTAAATTAGTTCTGTGAGATATGTCATCGTGGACGGAAGTTGTCCGCTGAAATTGCAATGGGACAGATCAATACTAGACAACATTACAAGCTTGCCAATGGAATCAGGCATTGGACCTGAGAAGTTAGTGTAGCTAAGAATGATTCTTCTAAAAGATCCACGCTGAGGAAATTGGGGCAGATTGCCGTTGAGTAACTCATTATTTGACAAATCCAGATTCTGTAGAGTGGGTACCTGGAAGATTTTATCCGGAAAGAATCCTTGCAAAGAGCAAGAGCTGAGGCTTAAGCTTGTCAATCTTGTGAAATTTGCAAAGAACTCTGGGATTGTTGTGGACAGATCGTTGTTGTCAAGGCGGAGAACTGATAGAAGATGAAGCTGTGAGAAGGAAGAATCTATTGGGCCCGAAAGATGACATCTAGACAAGCTCAATTTGCTTAAATTTGGTAAAGACGAAGACAAAGCCTGGCACCAATCATTCCCGGGAGCTGATATATTAACACCATCAAGATAAAGTCCTTGAAGCTCTTTAAGATTCTGAACAAGCGTTGTCAGGTTTGGATTCTCAAGTTTCAGTTGCTGAATCCCAGGGAATTGGGTAGAGAGATCCATAGTAACCAATCTCGTCATGTTCGAAACCCCAATTGGAATCTGTCCAACGAAACCAGCATTTGACAAGTTCAAGTATGTCAAATTCACATGATTATAAATCACGCTTGGAATCTGAATGTTGTTGAATCTGTTAAAAGCCAAATTCAGCCTCTGTAGATACTGAAATCCAAAAAGACTATTCGAATTTTCAATTCCACCAGAAATCGATTCGTTATCCAGTTCCAAACCGGTCACATGCCCTGATCTATCGCAGGCAATCCCCTTCCAGATGCAACAATCCTCAGACTGATTCCAGGTCACCAGCTTGATCGAAATTGTCCTGTTGAATGTGACAGTGTTCTTCAATTGAATCAACAATGCCCGTTGATCATCAAGACATTGACCAGAAGCCAAGACAGTATTTGTGCTTGATAAGATTTGGAAAAGGGTCACCAAGAAAATCCATGGATACAATAGATTGCTCATTTGTTGTCAAGAACACCCATCAACTTTAATTTTCTGCCTAATGGGGTTCACAACTGAACACCGTTCTCTTTTATTTGACGATGAAGACAAGTATTGATGAGAGAGAGAAAATTCAAAGTAAGAACTGGGAACTGCGTGTTTTAGTTTATTATGGGCCTCGTACAGATTGTATTATACGCGTTCATTGTTGGACCCAGCTTTTATTTTATTCATATTTTATACGAAAATTCGTGACTTTATTCATGTATTTTATATTTGAGGTAAGTACTGGCAATGGCGTTGACTCTTCTTCGTTGATTCTGTCTATTGACCAATTAAAGCGTTTTTTAAGTTAATAATACTGATCAATTGTCTGGAATATAGAAAATACTGTTTAGCCGATTGTAAAATTTACTGGATTACTGTTATTTGCTATTTGTTTTTTAGTTCTCAAATGATTTTCCTTTCCTTTTTTTTTTCTTTTAACATTCGTTGAAACAAAATAAAGATTTAATAAATAAAGAAAAGGGATATTTCTCTTTCACGTATTTCAAGGCACGTATTTATCCAAACTAAGTAAATATTTTTTTATTCATTTGTGACTATGCTTAAAGTCATTGCTACGATGGCTATGTGTATGCTTAAAGTCGTTGATTCTCTTTCATGTAAATTCATTGAGGCTATGTATGTGCTTAAAGTCGTTGATTCTCTTTGATGTAATTTATTTTGGTTTTAATATTTTGTTTGGATTTTCTTGGGTTCTTAATATTTTAGTTAAAAATACTGATAAATTGACTAGAATATAGAAAATACTTTGTATAGTCGATTGAAAAATCTTTGATTACTTTTTTCTTCTTCTTCTTCTTCTTCTTCTTCTTTTTTCTTTCTAAGTTCTCAAATAATTTTCCTCCTTTTATTTATTTATTTATTTATTTTTTTTTCAAATTAAACTCAAAATTTTTAGGTATTTAGTAAGTGAAATCGTCAGGTCCAAGTTTAATTATGGAACCGTTCAAGTTCGTTTAAGTTCCATTCTGTTTGATTTGGTTCCATTCGATTTCTAGATTCCATACTATAATTAAAATTTTCTAATATTTATGAAGTTACATTAATTTTACTAATGACATTTTCAATCTTAACTCTTACAAAATAACGTAGTTTAATCTTATGTGTCTTCTACGTTTCTCTTTGCTAAGTTCTTTATAGATTTGATTGTTAAAATCACATGAAGAGGAAAATAGCAAGCTCACAATAATTAAGAGAGGTATTGTCGATCATCAATTCGATTTATCCATAATGATAGAATAACATATTTGAGTAATACTTAGATTAATTTGATTAAATTGGACTTGCATTGAAAATTAAAAAAAAAAGGAAAATCATATTTTTGAGTTTGAGCTAAATTAAATAGTTAGCAAATTTATTTTAAAAAGATAAAATAATTTAACTTATTTAAAATAAATAAATTAAAAAGATTTGGGAGATTTGGTTATTATTTGATTCTTCGATTCTAGATCTAAAACTGTAAATTGAACCAAATTTGCCGATTTTCTATTCAAATACTCGTTCAAGTATTTAACTTAAGAAGAATTATTTGATTCAGTTCAAATCAGTTTGGTCTGTTTGATTTAGAAGTTTTGTCCAGCCCTAATGCTTGATATGTATCAATCATTGAATTTTTTAACACTAATGCTCAATTTGAAAAATTAAAAATGATGCTTCTATCATTTTTGTTCAATATTTTGTGTGGTTTATATTTTCAAACAAATAGGTAAAAGAAATTAAAACTAAAGATATACATATTCCAAATACCATAGTAAATTAGAAATAGAAATTGAGTATTTTTATGCAATAACTCTTTAAAAAAAACATTTTGTTTTTGAAAAATTTCTTAAAGATACTTTTAAAGAGAAACTCACTCTCTACTCTTAATTTACAATCATTGCATTCAATAAACTACATATTTCAATATTCTACTTAGGAGCTGTTTGATAGCCCTTTATTTTCTAGGAAAGTGGAAAAAGAATTCTAACTTTCACTTTTGGCTTGTTTGATTGACAAAATTTTTCAAGAAATTGGGTTTTCCACTTTTGACCGCCATATCAGCATTTTCGATCTTTTTTTTGAATTCGAATTCTCACCATATTGGTGAGAATTCGTTTTCCCGGTTATTATAGCAATTTTTTTATTTTTTTGCAATGGAAATAAATTTTAAAAATTATTGTAAAAAATTCTATCACTTTAATTGACAATTTTCATGTAAAACAAAGTCAAACGAATACCAAAAGATAGATTATTATTATTATTATTATTTTTTGCAATGGAAACAAATTTCATTCCCAATACCAGTAAATTCTATCCCTTTAATTGACAAATTTCATGTAAAACAAAGTTAAACGAACACCACAAAATACTTTCATTTCAACATTTTTCGCGTGAAAAATTATACCAATCAAACACAATAATTTACAATTCCTAGGAAAATAATTTTTAGACAATTCAATTTTTGAAATTTGTTTTCTTTCCACCCAAATTCCATCTTTGCAATGAAACGAACTCTTATTAAATTATTCAAACCACATTCAGCCCCATTTTTCCCCTTCTTTTTTCAACAGTGTTCATTTTCAACCACACATTTTTCATTAAAAACTTTATTACACGCAAATAAAAAGATTTGCATTCTTTTTTAACCATACATTTTTCATCAATTTACTATTTCATGATTCACTACAAGAAATTAATGGGACTCAAACAAAGCCTTAAATTGATTGATCATTGAAGTTTTACTTTCTAATTTTAGAAATAAATTCTATTACGCATAAAATGCTCTTTATTAATAAAGTGTCCCTTGAGATACTCTTATTTCGTTACTCAAACGCTAAGAATACAATAGGTTAAAAGTTTGGTCGAACTAAACAATATAAACATGATTTTAATTTCTTTTTCGTACTTAGCATTTATTTGATAGGGTTTAAAATCTAAATTTTAATTTAAGTAAAAATTAATAAATAATTTTAATTATATATTTTATGTAATTCACAATTTTTCAATCACATATTTTACCTATTTTTATCAAATTATACTAAAAAATTAATTTTAATCCTAACAAAAAAAGACTGTATCATCAACCACGCTCTTAATAAGCAAGCACTAAATGTACCTAATCCATTGCCAAAAAAAGTTGGTGGTTGTAACTCTAATGTTGACTTCTATGTTAGCGTGGGCCACTCCCACTTTGACAAGAGAAGTTGTCTGACAAGTTGTGAAAGGGAAATGAATAAATAAATTAGTAAGCACTTCCAAAATTAAAATCAAACCAGACATGAATACGACCTTTTGTTATTCATCGGGCGCTTTGGTTTGATTTTCAATGCATCATCAAAATCCAGTCTTCTCAAACCAACCTAACTTGACTCTCTGAGTTTGCGTGTTGACTCGGGCCCCTAATGTGGTAGAAGTCTCCCTGATTGTCTACACTTTCGGACCTTATATAAAATAATATTACACGGAAATAAAAAAAAAATCTTTTTTTTTAATCACTCATTTTTCTAAAATATATTATTCCATCCATTTTCATTTCTACAAAATGAGGGTACATTTATTGTAACTTGAAAGCATAATAAATGTCGAGACTAATTGTAACCCAAATTGGAAGAAATAGAGAAAAGTCTTACATAACCTATGAAAATATCTCGAAGACTTATATTCTTTTCAAAATGCATTGCTACATTGAATATAAAGCACAAGAAAATAAATTATTTAAATGAATTTACCTTTACAAAAATTAGATGATTTGAATAGATAAAGTTCTAAAAAAAAAAGGTTGAACCCCAATCTTGAGGACCCCACTGTCCCGTCTCTACAGCATCGTAAGGGACGTAAATCGCGGGATGTGCCCCATCAGGTCAGAGAACAAGAACTTGCCCGTACACTAGTGCCCATAAAGAGTTCAATTCCATATCTCAAGAATCGAACCCTCACACTGCAGCTGTCAGTAAGGCTGAGACTACCTCACTCATATCCTTTGTACCACTAAGTTATGCCCGGGAGCGATTTGAATAGATAAAGTATCATAGTAGCTAAATGATTTTTTTCTTATTATGCAATCACATGTTTATAAAATTTCATGTGTCATATCTCGAGTAAAAAAATTTAGCAAGCGTGCTGGTGAAGTAGTATGTTAATGATAAAGTACGAAAATATATATATGTAAATCTTTGTTCCATTTAAAAATTTAAACTTCTGAACGAGTTGATTTAATATGGTATAATATAGATCATGTGTTTGAATCACACCTTACCCATTCCTAGCAATGACATAGGCCTTACACATTACACATAGAAAAAATTCTTGAACATGAAAATAAAATAAAATTTACGTCATCTATTATTATAGTCTAATTTCTTAATAGTTAGATTATTAGATGCATGATTAAATACGTTCAGTGAGACAATAAAATTTGCCTTTTCAACTCTATCCATCATCTATTTAGGATATATGCGCAAAACTTTTTAGAATAATTCCAACATGTGAAACACACCATATTCCAGGGTGTCAATTCGAGTATTTTGTTTGGGGAGAATTTTTTTTTTTTTTTTTTTGTAAGTTAGAAAACATTTTAAAAAAAATACATGTGTTTGGAAATAATTTAAAAAATATATATATTAAAAAAATCTCTTTCAAGCGAATCTAAATAAAGACAACCATTGTGAGAAAAGAAGGAACCGAAAATCATCAATAGTTTGATCTAATAATAGATATCAAATTAGTACCAAGTTTAGGAACAAGGATTGTTAACAATGTTGACCTAATGGTTAACTTCTTGTTTTGATTATCACAAACAAATTGCGTTTAATTCTATCAAATTCAGATTGATAGTGATTATTACAAATTTATGACACGAAAGATCTAGATCAAGAATCATGCAACCTTGACACAAAACGACAAACACACAAGCAAGATTGAAAATTTACGAACGAGGAAATGAAAATCGAGCTTTCACGCACAAAATCGTATTGGATGAAGAAATTGAAAACATTAGCTATAAATGCATTTCTATACTCAAATGTAGAGGTAAAACACTTTAATTTTTTGTATCAATTATAGCTCAAACAATTTTTATGCACGAGAATTATCATGACAAACTTTACTTGGATAAAAATTATTTTTAAAAGATAAGTAATTTGATTTTCACAATTAAATCTTTATGAAATTACTTATCTATATGAATTATATAAGAAAACCCTACAAGTACTTAAGAACATTTTTCACGAAAAAGGAAAAATTCGATGAGCAAAACAATTACCCATCCGAACGTCCAGATGGGGTCTTCTGGACGTCCGGATGTGGTGTTCAATGGTCGAATTTTTTACCGTTTGGCAAACGGCTAGTTACCCGTCCGGATACCAAGCGAACGTCTAAATCACTTGTCCGGATCTCCTGATTGATGGCTATAAATACCTATCTTTATACCTCCTTTAAAGTAAGAATTCTAGAGTATTAAAGAGAGTTATTTATTGATCTTATCTACCTTGTTTTTCAATCTTTAATAGATCAAAATATGTCTTTGTTGAAAAACTTTTTGAGTGAGTAACTTTTTGAAAAATCATATATCTCAATAAAAGTTTTTAACACAACACTTGAGCTATATTCTTTGTGATTTATTGAAGTGTTGTGTCTAATTCTCTCTGAATATTTCGTTGTGTTCATATCATTTGTTAAGAGAGAAACTTTTCAATTGTAACTTTGATTTTCTTGTTCATTAAATTGTGGGTTGTGTTGAGGTCTCGAAAAGCTCAACATGTAAAAAGATCGGTGCTCCTTAGTTGTAAGTCATCGAAAGCATTGTAAGGGTTGGATTGCACCATAAATCAATCAAAGATAGTGAAAAATGCCTTGCTTGTGACGGAGAGCTTGGTAATGGGGGACGTAGATCGTGATTGGATCGAACCTCCTTATTACATCGTTTGCACTCTCTTTTCCCTTCCTCTTATTATTTTTGTGTTGTCTTATTTATTCATAGTTATTTGGTTAAATTTGCGTTTATTTTCGAAAAAGTTTCAAATAACCAATTCACCCCCCTCTTGGTTAGTTGTTCTTGGGCTCTCAAACAATATTAACTATCTTGAACCAATATTGAGTCACCAAAAATTAGGTTTCTAATGAAAATACCTAAATTTATATATTACAAGAAAAATAAACAAAAAGGAAATCTAAATAATATGTATTGATATTATATATGGCTAACATATTATATATGTCTGACTTCTAGCCTCAAACTCATGATGCTATAGCAAGAAGCAGCTATAGTTTGTCAAGCAAGAAGCGAAAGCAGTGAATTGGATGAGATTTCATGAAGAAGTCAGAAAGTTGTAACGATGAATAAACAAATGGTAAAGAAATGATGTCAGTCTGCAAATGATGGCGAATCAGATGATAGTCAATCTCAATATGCTTCGTGCACTCGGAATACAGACTTGTAAGAGATTTGAATATCACTTTTATCATCACAATACATAAGGATTGGAGAGGATGCAGAATACCTATGTTTGCAAGTAACCAACACAACCACACAATCTCAGTGGTAATGCATGGCATGGCACAATACTCTACCACAATAGAGGAACGAAAAACAATAGTCAGCTTCTTACTCTTCTGAGAGATAAGGAAATCACAGAAAAATATACATAAACCCATGTTTGCAAGTAATTAACTCAACCACACAATCTCAGTGGTAGTGCATGGCATAGCACGATACTCTACTGCAATAGAGGAACGAAAAACAACAATCTGCTTCTTACTCTTCTGAGAGATAAGGAAATCACCCAAAAATATACATAAACCAGTAGTGGATTAACGATTAGTGGGATTACTGGCCGAATCAGTATCAAAGTAGGCACGGAGTACTAAAAAGGAGGTTGAGAGAAACAAAAGATTCTAAAACGAAGTACCACGAAGATAACGCAAAATAAAAACTGATAAGTGTATTTTCTACACTTAATGGGGGCTCTAAACTATAATTTTATTGTTCTTTTGGCAAAATATGATCTAAATTTTATTGTATTAATTTTCTTAGATAAAACTCGTGTTTGAATGATGAATTCAATAAAAGAAGCAAAAGTTGGAGAAAAATATTCTACTAAATGGGCCTACAATTTAATTGGCATTAGACTCAATAAAGTGGACTTGGACGCGACAGAAGCATGTATTGGACAAGAAATTTAATAGCAATTGGGAGTCCCTTTTTAAGTCAAAGATTCTGGTTGGGGGCCAATTATATATATATAGACACATTCTGGCATAAAAACGGGGGGAGATTGCCAGGGCTGAAATAGAATATATATCTCACGCAATTGGACGACAATTGGAGGAGCTTTGGGAGACAAAATTATATACATATACATACAGAAAACCAAAGCAAAAGAGGGTAGCCTGGGGAATAGATAAAATAAACATTGTCGGCTGCAAACACAAAGAGAAGAGAAGAATTATGCCTACTGCTGAACTATATACACATAAGCCGGCATAGAGAGGACTGAATTGAAGATATTAGATACAATAGAAATCGACAGATTGGTGGAGGCTGGGAATAAATTGCATATATTAACACAGCAAGCGGAGAAGAGAAGGAACTACCGGGTGCTTAATTATATATACATAGCCGGCTGAGATTTGAAAAGAATCAGCAACTGTTGGGAGATAAAAACATTGGGCTGCTGAATTTTACATATATATTACGCGCGCACAAGGCAGCTTTGGAATCTGGAATTGGAATATAAAAGTGTGCGACTGCTCTTGAAGAAAGAAGATATACATGACACACGCATTACGAAACAGGAAAAGAGGCTGCCTTCAGAAATTAGAGAAAAATAGAGACGACACACAACCATTGGAATTAATTACGTTTCGTCTATTTCTCGGTGATCTCGTTCTTTTTTTATGCGTTTAATTGCAACAATATGCTAGGCTAATTCCTCCTTTGTATTGGATGAAATGAACCCTATTATTTATTTATTTTAATTCAAGACAAGTATTTAGTTTAATTCGTGTGTTACTTTATTAATTTTGCATTCTCATTGCACTATTGAATTGTTTGGCCATCAATTGAATAGTTACTTGCTTGTTGTAGTGTAGGAATACTTACAACGAGTCTAGAACGCGGTAAATTTAACATGTATAGTTAGGATTAGGAATAATATCTATCATACATGCAATCATATTGATAACTTAAATTAAATGCATGATTTTCATATGAATTCGGATTAGAAATAAGATCGGGTCATGTTAATCATAGGTTGGTGTATCTTGGAAAAGAACATTTAACATATTAGTGTTATCGATTGTCAAGTACTCGTGAAAGAAATTAGATTACGAGTCAAGAATTGAAATAAATAACAATAGGCGGAATCGAAATCCAATACAATCCTCCATAATTAGATAAAACCCCATTTTCATTGCTTTCTTAGATTAATTTAGTTTAAATCAAATCAAAATATTTATTTTGTTTTCATAACTAGAATTCAATACGAAACTAGTAAACTTGAATTAAATTTATTCTCTGTGGGACGATAACTCTTAACTCACTTTTTATTACTTGTCAACGATCCCGTACGATTGCGGGTATCACACAAACAAGTTTTTGGCGCCGTTGCCGGGGAATAAAGTTTTAGTTTGAGTTTATTAGTTTACATTGGATTTGAATTTTTTATTATTATTATTTTTGTTATTTTAGGCTTTAATTGTGATACCTAATTTCTTCTTATTTACTCTTAAGGCTTTTACTAGATCTCGAAATCGAAAGGACCTTTAAACAACGCTAAGAGAACTAAGAAGAATGAGGGTAATGGCTGAGAATTAAGATCAAATTCAAAATTCACTGCAGAATGCAACACTTCAGGTTCAGCAACCACCTCCAGCTCAGTCTATATTGGTTAGAGATTATGTGAATCCAGAACCTGCACCGATTCAACCTTCTATTGTCTATCCACCGTTTGGACAAGCAAACTTTCACATCTGACCAGATGTCATAAATCTTTTCCAGAATCATCAAGACATCAGGTTCAGCGGGAAAGCTACGAAAAATCCACACGAACATATTCAAGCTTTTACCATGCTTTGTGATGTCATTAGCCATGAGGGGATGCCACAAGATGCATTCTGAATGCATTTATTCCCTCACACTTTGAAGGAGGGTGCGAAAATATGGATGATGTCACAACCCCCTTGAAGCATCGTATAGTGGAATGACATGGTACAAAAATTTACCATGAAATTCTTCCCACCATCTCGAGTCCACCAAATCAGAAAACGAAGTATATCTTTTCAGACAGAAGGATCATGAGACATATCCGGAAGCATGGGACAGGTTCAAAAATGCGTTTAGGAAATGCCCAAATCTTGATGTTCCTAAACTAGCACAAATATATCTATTCTATAATGGACCGCGCGTTGAATTTCGCAATATAGTTGATGCTTTTGCGGGTGGATCAATTTTGACTATCGAGGTGGATGATGCACATAATTTATTTGAGAGGATTGCTGAGAATCAGGCCAACTGGCTAACAGATAGGAAAGCTCCGAGAAAAATATCTGGATTGCATAATGTGGACGCAGTGACAGCATTGGCAGCGCAGATGGAAGCAATAACAAAGAAGCTTGATACTTTAAATCAATTTGTGCACATGGTACAACATCCAGCTCCGGTATGCGCAGGTTGTGGGGACAGATCACATCACTTCAAGTTGTCCTTTGGCTTCTACTCACATAGGTCAGTCAGCAGAGGTCAATTATGCGCAGAACTATTAGAGGTAAAATGGATCTTACCCATACAACTACCATCCGGGTTTGAAGAAGCATCCCAACTATTCGTGAGTGGATAATCCAGATCAAATAAATCAGATGAAGGGCAATCCACCAGTAATTCAGCAACAGCAAGGTAAGAGGCAATCCTTGGAAGATCTACTGGTCACGTACATCACCAAGATTGAAACAGTAATGTAGAATCAATAGGCTTCCATACATAACCTAGAAAATTAGGTGGGACAGATAGCAGCTGCATTAGCCAACAGACCACAGAGTACTTTGTCGAATGACATAGAAAAGAACCCACGGGAGTAGGTATTAGCAGCTGAGGCTGTAAATTATGCAACTATTGAGCTTCCATCTACCACATCCACCACCCTTGTCAAAGCTTATGTGCTACCCATTCCATTTTCTCAAAGACTTCAACGCTAGCCAACAGCAAAGCAGGTTCAAGCCATCACTACTAGGAGTGGTGTTCAATTGCCAGAAATCACTGTAAAGAGGAAGCAGACAAAGAGAACTCAAATGCCTACTAAGGATAAGGAACCAATGAAGCAATCTGGAGAAGCAATAGAAAAGGACCAACAAACAGTTTCAGACAATCCACAGCTTAAGGCAAATGTTCCTGGCACTTCACTGAAACCTCTGGTCCCTTTTCCTCAAACGTTACAGAAGACCAAATTGGAGAAGCAAGCTATGAAATTCCTGAAAATCCTCAAAAAGTTGCATGTCAACATCACATTCATTGACGTTATCCTTCAAATCTTAAGCTATTCTAAGTTTTTGAAGGAGATGCTGACTAAAAAGAGGAAGATGCCCGAGCATGAAACAATAATACTACCTGAAGGGTACAGCGTGATCATCCAGCACAGGATCCCTCCCAAACATAAAGATCCAGGGGGTTTCACTCTACCTTTCTCCATAGGAAACTTACAAGGTATTAATTGTTTAATTGATTCAGGAGCAAGTATTAACTTAATTCCTTTGCCTCTTTACAGGAAATTGGGATTGGGAGATCCCAAGGCAGCTTCTATCATCCTTCAGCTGGCGGACCGAACATTGAAACATCCCTATGGAATAGTCGAGGACATTCTCATCAAGATGGGAGGATTTATTTTTCCAGCTAACTTCACATTCTAGACATAGAAGAGGCATCCCAAATTCCAATAATACTAGGAAGGCCATTCCTATCAACAAGTCGGGCATTACTTGATTTTGATACAAACGAGATAGTCCTGAGGGTGGAGGATAAGCAACAAAGCTTCACCATGGAGAATCCAATCAAGCAACCATCATATTTTGAGGATTGCCAACGAGTTGATCACTGGGAGAGTTACAAAGACCGGCCAAATGTAGGTGGAATTGTTGGTAGGGATAACAATGAAAACTTGATCATGTGGAGGATGAAAGATGAAAGAAAGAAGTGCAACCAGTGCTTAAAATGTAGGAGGATGAAAGATGAAAGAGATGAAGTTGTACTTGAGAAAAAAATAAAATTGTTCTCTTTGAAGCCTTTTTGACTCGGGTTATTAAGCATGTAAGGATATCTTAAAATTTAATGCCTTAAAGTTATCTGATTTGGGAGTTATCGGCCTAAAGTCTGCTACATGGGTCATCTAGAAAGCTTAATAGAGAGAGAAAAAAAACTCTTAAAAATCAGAAAAAGCAAGTGCATGGAAAAAAACAGAAGCACTAAATACCTTGTTAAGTCCTAACACTTATTCGAGAAAATTTAACTTTCGATTAAAGATCATTAGCCTAATTGAGTCTTGACGATCGAAGCAATCAAATTAATTGAGAATCCTTGTTCATTGATGTATTGATTTGCAACCAGTGATGTCCACCTGAACTAGAGAGGGTAAGGATAGTAATGAAAAATTCAACCTTAGATCATACGCTGGGAAAATAGTGAAAAAGAATAAATTTAGGGGTGTGTGAATCTTATGAGAGATGAAAGGATATATTTGACCATATAGGGTCGAAAATTGAAACAACTTGTGAAATCATTAATGTCTACTTAATTTTTCACACACACACATCGATTTTGCATTAGAAGAGTGGATATTTGTTTGGTATTGTGACTTTGAAGCAATTTATAGATTTAATACGGTGATCTCGAATTCTATGGTAAAAAGTTAAAATGTCCAACCAAATATTTTTGCATGCTTGTATGTTTGTTATTATTTAGGTTATATTTTTATTTGATGACAAACAAATGTTTAAGTTTGAGGGTTTGATAAGTGTATTTTTTACACTTATTTGGGACTCTAACTATATACTTTTATTGTTCTTTTGGCAAAATATGATCTAAATTTTATTGTATTGTTTTTCTTAAGGTAAAACTCATGTTTGGATGATGAATTGAATAAAAGAAGCAAAAGTTGGAGAAAAATATTCTACTAAATGGGCCTGCAATTTAATTGGCATTGGACTCAATAAAGTGGACTTGGACGCGGCAGAAGCATGTATTGGACAAGAAATTTAATAGCAATTGGGAGTCCCTTTTTAGGTCAAAGATTCTGGTTGGGGGCCAATTATATATATATAAACACATTCTGCCAGAAAAACGGGGGGAGATTGCCAGGGCTGAAACATAATATATATCTCACGCAATTCGGCGACAATTGAAAGAGCTTTGGGAGACAAAATTATGTACATATACATACAGAAAACCAAAGCAAAGGAGGGCAGCCTGGGGAATAGAGAGAATAAACATTGTTGGCTGCAAACACAAAGAGAAGAGAAGAATTATGCCTACTGCTGAACTATATATACACACAAGTCGGCATAAAGGGGACTGAATTGAAGATATTAGATACAACAGAAATCCACAAATTGGTGGAGGCTAGGAATAAATTGCATATATTAACACAGCAAGCAGAGAAGAGAAGGAACTACCGGGTGCTTAATTATATATACATAGCCGGCTAAGATTTGAAAAGAATCGGCAACTATCAGGAGATAAAAACATTGGGCTACTGAATTTTATATATATATATATATTACACGCACACAAGGTAGCTTTGGAATCTAGAATTGGAATATAAAAGTGTGTGGCTGCTCTTGAAGAAAGAAGATATACACGACACACGCATTACGAAACAGGAAAAGAGGCTGCCTTCAGAAATTAGAGAAGAACAGAGATGACACACAACCATTGGAATTAATTATGTTTCGTCTATTTCTCGGTGATGTCGTTCTCTTTTTATCCGTTTAATTGCAACAATATGCTAGGCTAATTCCTCCTTTGTATTGGATGAGATGAACCTTATTATTTATTTATTTTAATTCAAGACAAGTATTTAGTTTAATTCGTGTGTTACTTGATTAATTTTGCATTCCCATTACACTATTGAATTGTTTGGCCATCAATTGAATAGTTACTTGTTTGTTGTAGTGTAAGAATACTCACAACGAGTCTAGAACGCGGCAAAATTAACATGTATAGTTAGGATTAGGAATAATATCTATTATACATACAATTATATTGATAACTTAAACTAAATGCATAATTTTCATATGAATTCGGACTAGCAATAGGATCGGGTCGTTTTAATCATAGGTTGGTGTATTTTGGAAAAGAAAATTTAACATATTAGTGTTATCGATTGTCAGGAACTCGTGAAAGAAATTAGATTACGAATCAAGAATTGAAATAAATAGCAATAGGCGGAGTTGAAATCCAATACAATCCTCCATAATTTGATAAAACCCCAATTTTTATTACTTTCTTAGATTAGTTTAGTTTAAATCAAATCAAAATATTTATTTTGTTTTCATAACTAGAATTCCATACAAAACTAGTAAACTTGAATTAAATTTATTCTCTGTAGGACGATAACTCTTAACTCACTTATTATTACTTGTCAACGATCCCGTACGCTTGCGGGTATCACACGAACACAAACAACAGTGACACAGTGAACTATCATAGGAGTTGAAACAAACTAACTAACAATTGAACAACATAAGTAATATCGGAACGTGTGATGATGAGATAAACCAGACATCCAACAATGGTACGACATAAAATGGATCAATCAAGGGTACACCGTCATAGGAAGAATATCGAGCGTCGGATTCAAGAAGAGTATCAATAGTCTTAGTTTCAATAATATGAGAACATTTACAATATACTTGGACTGAGAGAGAAGACAATCTATAGTAGAAAAAGCAACTTCAATTCCCAAAAAGTAAGATAATGCACCTAAACATATAATTTTTTATTAATGGGATTAAAGCAGAGATCACCCTTACGTCCTTATCCATAGCACGAGAAAACATAGATAACAGAGCTAGATGACAACTTACTACATTCGATTTCAGGACGAAGAACAAAGCAATTATAGCCAAAAACTCTCAATAAGGAGTAATCAGGAGGATGCTCATACAATGTTTCAAAAGATGATAAACTTAAAGTGTGGGAAAATGAAATCTTATTAATTAAAGAAATAACGGTGAAACTGCTTCGCCTTAAAATTCACTCATAACTTTGGCAGACAAGAGAATGGGATGAGCAATTTCTACAATGCACCTATGCTTTCGCTCAGCGATACCATTTTGTTGTGGGGGTATTAGTACACAATGTTTGATGAATTATGCCATCAAGAGCAAGAAATTCGGTGAAATCATTAGAACTATACTCTCCATCTAAGTCACATCTAAAATACTTAATTATAACAAAATATTGAGTTTTGATGAGAGCTCTAAAAGAACGATAATAGAAAGAAAGTCGAAACGTCATTTCATAAGAGAAATCTAACAATAACAACTATAATCATCAATATAACACATACAATATCTAGACCCTCCTTCTGTAGCAATAGGGACAGTTCCCCGTACATCAGAGTAAACAAGATCAAATGGTGCAACAGAGTGAGAAAAACTTCGAAGAAAAGGTTAAGCATAAAATTTAGCTAAATTACAATTACTACAATTTGAAATGTCATGAAGTTTGCAAACCCCCTAAATAACCCTTAGAAACTAATTTTTCAAACAAATATCAAAAACATGTCCAAGGTGAAAATGCTACAAACAAAACTAAAAGACGATAAATTTAAAGAGAAAGATGACAAATCAACACCAAAGGTTACAACATGTAGTGGTCTCAGATTGTCCAGAACATATAACCTTCATTGTCTATGACCTATCCCAATCAATTTCTGAGATCGAGGATCCTGCATATGAAAGCATTTGAAAAAACTGAACTAAGTATTCAGAATCACAAAATTGACCAATAGAAATAAAATCCAAAGCAAGAGTTGGAACATAATAAACGTCTGAAAGATATAAATTATGTTTGCTAACTGAACCAACACCTGTTAAATATAATGGTGTGCCATCAGCAATCATGATAGCATAAATGAGTGATAATGACGCAAGTCATTAAAGAATTTAGAGTAAAAAATGACATGTCTTTCGAAGTACCAGAGTAAAAAATTCTTGAGGAAGAAATACATGAAGGAATTTGAGACGACAAACTTATATAAGTAAAAGCAAACATAGCATGTAGCTATGTGGCTAAGAACTTTTGAAACTGTTTTGCTAAATCAGTCAACATAGGGCTAGAAGAGGGTGGTGCTCCAAGTATAGACGAGTCACCAGGTGGCATGTTGGAAACCATGTTAGCATCGGGACGATAGGATCGCAGCTGTGGTTGTGGTTGCTGCTTCTTCAATAACTTAAGATGTTGAGACTTCCAATGTCCATTTGGTCTGCAAAAGTTACATTCATCAATAACAACTTGCACAAAACCTTTATTCTAATTCTGTGTGGACAATCGAGAGAGCACAGCCAATGTTGAGGTGCTAGATAGAGGAAGAGATACTTCTCCCTAACCATCGAATCAACTGAGGAAAGTGGAGTGCGATGCAAGATAAAGTCTCTATGTCCCTTAAAATCATTGCGAAGTGCCATAAAAAAACTGAACTAATCACCGCTCCTCTCTAAAAGTAATATATTCTTCAAGTGCTTTCAATCTTGTTGATTCTGTGAGATCTAACTCATCCCAAATTTAACTCATAGCAGTGTAAAACTCGAGAATACTCATATTCTTCTATTTTAAATCACATATATCGATCTCCAACTAATACTATTTTGCAAAGTTAAACTTAGTGTATAACTTCTGAAAGTGATCACAAACTTCTTTTGCTGTTTCAAACTTCGCTGACTGTGTATCAATGGATTGCTCAATAGAGCGTTCTTAGGTTTCACAATAGTTCCACTAATATAACCTCACAATCTTTTTCCCTTTAGAAATTTTCTTCTTATTGTATTCCAATATGAGTAATTTCACCATTTAATTTGACACTAATGATTTGAAGTAAACATCTCTTTCGATTTCCATCATAAATTCAACAAATAATCAACTATGAATCAATGAAATCACCCTAAAGAAAACCAACGATAACCAATGTTCCACCACAAACTACAATCGAAATATAATGTACAGTATACGTATAACCAAAATAATACCACCAAAAGAACATAAATTTAACAAGGAACAAACAGCTTTTTGGAATCATCTCGAAAAAATCGTTCATGATCTCAAAGCTTTACTGCACGTGAGTCCACGTTTGTCGTCCGATGCCACGTGCCTAACCGAAAGATGCGTCTCAACTTGTTGAACAAGACTCTAGTCTCAATTTTCTCAATAGGTCTTTGGTTCAGTTGGAATCACGATTTTTAATTGCAGGCAATTAGGTTTTTGCACGATTTCTTCCTGCCTAGTTTCTGCTTGGATTTCCAACGTGTCACAATTAGAAATTTCACAAGTTTCACCCAACTACAGGCTCTGATACCATGTTAACAATATGAACTATATTGAACCAATATAGTGAATCAATTCAAAGAGGAAATAAGAGAGAGAGAGAGAGAACATTAATCTATTGAGTCACCAAAAATTAAATTTCTAATGAAAATACATAAGTTTATATAGTACAAGAAAAAACAAAAGGGAAACCTATAAAAAAATGATTATGCAATAATATTATATATGGCTAACAAACTTTACAATCTTACAATATTTTTAGGGAAAATGGAATTGGAAGTAATATTTAACAACAATTACAAGAAAAAAAAAAAGAAATGATCTCCTAATCACCGACGACATAGCACATCATTTAATTGGTGAATAATTTAATGATATTTAATGATTAATCAATTAAATGATGTGCCATGTCACCGATGCTTAGGAGATCATTTCCGTATATATATAAAGCGAACACAAAAACTTTAAATAGAAAAAATGAATCATATATGAGAAAGATAAAAAAGAGTCCGTTGAGAGGAGACCATTTATTTAGAAAATAAGGGATCAATTAAATTGTTGCGATTATTTTCAATTGGTATAAAATATACATAAAAATGACGAAAGGGTTAAGGTAACCATTGTTTAACAATGCTATTAACTATGGCAAGAAAGAAAGACACGGATGATTGACACAAAACATCTCTATTGTTTGCTCTTTTTGTGATAAATATTCTCATCATTTTTAAATTTGCGTTTACACCTTCGTTTCAACCTATTTTTTCACAAAAGCCAATTCCATCACCCGTCGTCCATTTAATCTGTTAAATAGGCGCGGGTCCACAAACGACATAATTTAGAAGGGCAAAATTGTTAATCTCCTTAACCCTTATTATTTAATTTTAATAAGAATAAGATAAAAATGGAAAAGGAAAAATAAATGAGGAAAATAAGGGCTAAATATTTTATGCGACCTTGTATCTCTTCTCGTTACAAAATATTCAACGTTCGCCTACAAAGCTGGAATTTTTTTACCCATAAAGCTAGTCACTTGACACTAAGGGTTAAGTACAGTGACAACACCGCATTCTAATATTTTAATTAAACGAAAAGATATTTAATATTTAATCATTGTCACATTTATGTTTTCAACCTTTTTGGTCACATTTTATTATCAACCTTCCATTAATTAGTAGATTTGTTTGTAATGACAATTACTGCTAAAAAGTTCTGTCAAGATTGGATGAAAAAGACTTTTCACCCTTTAAAATTTAAATAAGCAAAAATGAATAACAATTATAAAATTGTGGCTAAATATTTTTTCCTCATTTTAAAACATGCTAACAAAATTTTTTTTGGATAAAAACCATTATCATGGATAATATATGTTAATTAATGGAAGATTAAGGACAAGAATACGATGAAAAAAGTTAAAGCCATAAATGTAACCATTAACAAAGATTAAGGACCTCTAATGCAAAAAAAATTGTGATGTGAATATAGAACAAAGCTATAAGTACAGATTTTTTTTACAAAATTTGTACAAAAAAATAGCCGTCATTTTGTTATTGGCTTTTGTCATAAATAATTTTTGCCCACGGCAAATAATATGAAAATAGCCGTCATTCTGTACCAATTTTGTTAAAAAAAATTCGTACTTGTAAATTAATTGGTGAATATAACCATCATTTGCTAAAATTTTCAAGACATTTTTATTGTGGAGGGCAACAGACAAATATATTAAAAACCTCCATTTAATATAATCTTAACAATTTTATTCAATATGTTGTTCATGTTATATTTTGATATATGTCTAAGAATGAGAGTTTTTATGAAATAATCTTTTTCCTAATATTCGCAAAAGTTGTTAATCATATAAATTTCAAAATTAAATTACATTAATATTTTTAGGAATATCTTTCATATATCACTGCAGCCTCCGCGACCCCAGCCACCATGGAGAGGGACTGGCTTGAGAAAAAGACGAAATATTTTTATTTTATTTTTTTCATAAGGATAGTATATGTATTAAATTATTTAGAGAAATTAGATATGCAAAATTTATCCCAGAAAAATGTCCCTATAATTTTTGAAAGGGTAATTTGCGCATAATGTCCATACCATTCATTATTATTGTGAGAAATGTTCCAACTTTCCCTTTTTTTTGGAATTTTATCCTTAATTATCTCTCCCATCCATTTTCTAAGTCAAATGAAGGATATTCTCATCATTTTTCCTCATTCTTCCATATTTCAACTCATTTTCTCCTCTATTTCTTTTTTTGAAAATTAACATTTAGTTTCTTGGGATATGAATACCCAAGAAAAAGTTGAGGTTGCCGGTTAGAAAAAGAAAGAAGTTAACATGTTGTTCAAGGTTGGGAAATATATGAGAACGTCATTCAAGGCCAGAACAGCCCCCTGGAAATCCAGGGCCACATTGGCCCTGGTTTTCTAGCAGGGTTCTTTGATTTGATAGCAAAATAGTATTTGCAGTGTAACTTTAAGTCATGTGCCTCACATTGGGTGTGACACTTCTTTCAGAGAGGAGGAAATGAAACAACTCAAAGCACTGAAGATTACTTGCAACATGAACAATGCAGCTTGCATATTGAAACTGAAAGATTATAAGGAGGCAGAGAAGTTGTAAATAAAGGTTTGCTCAGCTGGATAATCGATTTCTTTTAATTACTTTTTAAATCATAGATTTCATTTGCTTAATGAGTGTTGGAACTCAAGAGTACAAACATGAAGGGACTTTGAAGATATGGATATTTTCCACAATAATAGTGAAATGTAGGGATATTGTACTTTGATTTCTGTTTTTAAAACCTATAAAAGTGATATACTCGATTACTTAAAACGGTGTCTATCTAATAGTCTCCAATCCCTATAATCCTTCAATAATAATAATTATTATAATAGTCTCTATAAATTAATTCTTGGTATATGTTATTCCGTCCCGCTGTCCAAATTTATCGATGGATGAGCACCGATATTCATCTTATGCTTAGCACTAGTGACATATTATACTAATTTATTGATGGATATATATATAATAAACAATACTATCAAATTTTCTAAGACAATGTATCCCTTATAATTATTTTGAATAAAAACAATAACATCTATTAAATTTCAAAATTTATAAAATTTATTAAATAAAAGCATAGTCCATGTGGTAGAAAAGTATTCAAATAAATTTAACTTATCTTTTATGCATTGACTTGCAACAATTCCATTTCACAATTTTTCCATTTTCACATGATAAGAAAAAATTTCCTTTAACGTGAACTATGGAATAAAGATAATTTTATTATTTGAATACTAATAAATGTAGAACATAAAAGGAATTACTTTAATATAATTAATTAGTTTAAAATTGGCATTTCAAACATAGACAAATGGAAAAGCTGAAAACAGAATTTGAAAATTCTTTTTCTACTTCTCAAAATATGACAAAGGGTGTACTTTTTCATAATTTATTATCAAACACCCCCAAAAGGAACCTAAATCACCAAACAAACAAAAAGTTTAACCATACAGTCATTCCAAGTCCCACGCTATATCCCAGTGCAGCCATACATAATTCCAATTGATATCTGTCTTCACATTGTTCATGTCCTCAGGACTTGGGAGTGAGACGCCCTCACATTTCCTCTCCAATGGAAACCCGCACAGTCCCGTATTTCCTTCATAGGAGACTTCTGAAAAAGTCTGAAACTGACGATCCTGGGGGATCTTCCCAAACAACATATTGCGGGACAGATTCAAGAATGAAAGGAATGTTAGGCTTGTGAACTCTTCCGGTATTTCTCCAGTTAGCTGATTATTTGAGAGGTCCAGTGATCCAAGCTGTGTGAGATATCCAATTGATTTTGGGATTTGGCCCGTGAGAGCATTATTTGAAAAGTTGAGAATGTAAAGAGAACTTAGATTCCCAACAGTGTCTGGTATCTCTCCTTGAAAATTATTGCTTGAGAAATCAAGGACAGTAAGAACTCTGAGAATTTTCACAAACTCCAGTTCTAACCCTTTAATGGTTGCTGTCACAGTGTCCTGATAGTAAAAGTTGCTCAGATTCAGAAAGTCAAACCTCAGGTGGTTGTGATCAAATTCACCATCATTGCCGAGCATCATTCCTCTCCAACTTAAGAAGCATTTTGGGTATAAATTTCCACTGAAATTGTTAGAAGCAATATCAATGATTTGAAGATTTCGCCAGCTGTTACTTGCCCCAGGAAAACACCGAATACCTCCATGGAATTTGTTGGATCGCAGAACAAGGACATGCAAGTTGGATGAATTTTTCAACATGCATGGAAATTTGTCTTCAATGTAGTTGTTTCCAATATTCAAGACTTCTAACAATTTGCAGTTGGCCAGGGATCCTGGAATCTGTCCTGATAAATTATTCCTACTGAAGTCTAGAGTTCTTAGACCACAACTGGGAGAAAATGTACCAGGAATGGTGCCGCTGAGGATGTTTCTTCCTAGATTCAGTACCCCAAGAGTCTGACTATTAATTGATAGTAGACAGTTTGGTATCGTTCCGCTCAAGAAATTGTTGGACAAGTCAAGAACTTGAAGGTAACTGGCATTGCATATGGATTCAGGTATAGCTCCCCTTAGATTATTATTTGAAAGAGAGAAGAAAGAAGAACTCAAAACACTCTTGCCAATATCAACTGGAATGGAGCTATTGAATTTATTCCCCGAGTAATCTATATAGATAGCTGATGGTGAAGGGATCGGCAGATCACCCTGGAGCTGGTTGCTATGAATGTCTAAAATCAAAATACTGGAAATGTTGTAAGGTGTTTGCAGATCTCGTAGGAGATTGTGAGAAAGATTTAAATGAACAAGGCTTCCACGTCCAACTTTCCAAATCCAATTAGGTATTTCCCCATTAATTTTGTTGTCTGAAAGGTCTAAAAAGGACATTTTTGATTGGCTGCTCAGGTCAGGAAAACTTTGTAGGTTGCAGGAAGCTAAGTTTAACCTGGTTAGCTGTTGAAACGAATATGAGCTCGAAGAACTATTGCTTGTATTGATTGACAAGCGGTTGTGACCAAGCTCCATGTAAGTGTTATGCCCTAGATCCAATCGATTTAGGTTGTAAACGCTTTTAATATATTTAATGCATTAGATTTTGGCGAGATCTATTATTTATTTAATTTATTTAAATTAATTTTGTGATAAATAATATTAAATAATAGAATCCGAAGACCCAATTTTTAGGTAATCTGTTAATCACAAGGAGTTGTGATTGTGAGATACAAATTACATATAATTGGATCTTGAATAAACCATGGTCGTAAGTAATAACGAGATACGGATATCGTTAATACAGTTAGACCATCACGTGTGGCATTTCTTACTTATGAAGTAAGTAGCTGATCTCACGAGCTAAAGTGTGGTGACACTTAAATGAACATGTGGATGTTTTGTTGTAGAACAAAACATTGGAGACCCGCTAAGAGATTCCACATGGATAACTATCTGAGTGTCAGTGGCTAATCTCTAACGTTCGGTAGTGGGATTGATCCTTTGACTTGAGGTCGTCATAGTACCCTATATGAGGATAGTCATACTTTGGCGGTGTTGGATGTTGCTCTGAAAAGGGCCGCTAATACGACATCGTTCGGGTACGCAAGAATCGTATGAAAGTTGTGATTGATCAATAAAGGATTCGTCACTCTTAGATAGTAGGAGATAATCTGCGTTTCATTCAATTAAGTCGATGATGAAA